AGTCTGTGACAGCCCTTGAAAATTTCATTGATTGTTTGCAAAATTATTTAATTTCAATGTAATTTCATGAAAATTTCTTGTCAGCATGGATGAATTTTGTACAAAATGCATAAAACTATTTTGTAATGCATTGTTCTTAAATAAAAAGCTGCTTCAAGACTTATAAATTACTGAAAACATGTTAAGGTTTGAAATCATCTGCCGATTAAACAACAGACAAAGTTGACCGACTAAATCAATCGACGAAAAACTATTAAATAGGCCGATTGCTCGGTGTAGCACCAGACGAAAAACGATTAAATCTGCTGATTAATACACCGACTGAAATTAATTTTTAAGTGGCAATAGATTTAGTCGGTGGACGAATCGGGTGATCTGGATGATGTTTGTTTATTTGGAAGATATTTTCGAAACAAAGCACGATAAAATTCAGAATTATATACCATTATTACGAGTACTACTTTTTGCTCGGATCATGTTTTGACTCCCACAGAAACTCGCTAGAATAAATACAAAATAATAGTTTTTTGGTTGAAATTTCAAAAATGTATTCAGTTTGACACATTATTTCGGACTTATCACCGCTGCGATTGCAGCGCCATGGTGGCCGATTGAAACTTGGATTTGTCAATTGTTACTTCTAACCTCGAGAAAGCCGCGAGAAATCGTTCGCCGTAGCACTAACAGTAGTTTTAAGAAAAGTTTGTTAAACAAAAATTGAGTTTCGACTCCGTGAATCGAACGCAAATGAGCCTTGACAAATAAACGAATAAAAAACAGAGTTGTTAATCGATAACCGTCGACAACTTCTGCAATGCAGATTTACCATTGCAGACGATAACGGTGATGTTATCGATGGTTATTGGTTATTGTCCTATGCAAAATTCAAGGAACCTCAAAAATGTTTTGAAAACATAATAGAAGCTCAGGAGCTTCATAAAAATTTAGGGAATCTCATGGAAGTATACACTTAGATTTTTTTTTGCCAAGATGGGTACCACCGAGCAGCTTGGTATTTTATATCGCTGGACCTCATTGTAAAACTTGCCGAGATTCAGCTAACAAACTAGAATTTTGCCGAGATCTCAGCAAACAAACATACATTTGGCTGAATCTCGCAAATTTTTCACTAATATCCAGTAAAATAAAACGCCGAGCTGCTCAGTAGTGACTCAATTTCATAAGTAACACGACTCGCTATGAAGTGGACGGTCCTGGAATGAAACTTCGCTGAGCAGGCACTCGGTGTACTGAACCCCCGAACCCGTCAGTCGTGCTGGCCTGAAGTGATACGCTTAAGAATCCTGGCTACCCCTAGAGTAAATTAGGCCTATTCTGCGCGGCGTGTGAGGTGAGGTGTCAATTGTCACCTCGGGTGAGGTGAGTCTCCATGCAAATCAAATGGAGAGTCACCTCACCCGAGGTGACAATTGTCACTTCACCATCACTTCACTGTCACCTCATCTCACACGCCGCGCAGACTAGGCATAAATGCTTGCTCTTGCCATGAACTGGGTCCTGGTCACATTTTTTTTTATCAATTTAAATGGAGTTTTGAACCCACCACAGCATGCTTTTAGCGCTACTGTATATGGACAATCAAATGTAAAATACTGCGGTAGCCACAGCATAGTTCTGTCAAAACCTCAGCATCCGATGGACTTGTGGTGTATTATCAAAATGTTCGTGGCTTGCGAACTAAAATTGACGACTTATTCTTGACTGCTGTTGAGTCCAACTACGATGCAATAGTTCTTACCGAGACCTGGCTAGATGATCGAATTCACTCAGCACAATTATTTGGCAGTAGGTTCTCAGTTTTTCGAAATGACCGTAACCGGATGAACAGTGCCAAATCACGCGGTGGTGGCGTCTTGATTGCGGTTTCCAAACGACTGAACTGTTGCCTCGATCCTGCTCCGGTTAGTACTTCTCTTGAGCAGTTATGGGTGAAGATTACGACGTCACACAACATGACAAGCATCGGCGTTATGTACCTTCCTCCTGACCGTAAATCTAATTTGAGCTGCGTTGAGAACCATATCAGTCCCATTGGTGCTGTATTGTCCCGATTACATCACAACGATCTAGCTCTGCTATTTGGCGACTATAACCAGTCTGGGCTTGTTTGGAATATTTCCGCGAATGATCATCCAACCATAGACATTCTTCGGTCGTACATGCCTGCTTCCTGCTGTGCTCTTTTGGATGGTTTTAGCCTGCATGGTTTAAAGCAAATTAATTTTGTACCAAACAGAAACTCTCGGCTGCTTGATCTTGTGTTGGTGAACGAAGCCGTTGCACTAGAGTGCAGTGTCGCTGAGGCATCCGAGCCTCTGATACATCCAGAGCATTCATCAATCGATCAGTTCCTGTTCTCTATGAAAACATCGTTGATGTACAAAGCCTGGACTTTCGTAGAACTGACTACGTCGCATTGAATCACTCACTGGCCCAGGTAGATTGGCAGTCGCTTGACTTGTGTTCGTCCATTGATGAAGCCGTTAACTATTTCGACGAAGTTTTTAGCCGATTAATAATGGATTGTGTGCCTCTGAGGAGACCTGCTCCAAAACATGCTCGATTACAACACATGAAGCGTGTGAGATCGAAGGCTCTTCGAAAATACAGCCAGTCCCGTAATCCATTCACCAAGCGATTATTTTCGTTAGCAAGTAATTGCTACCGAATGTACAACCATTTTCTATACAAGAAGTACTCAAGACGTATGCAGACCAATCTCCGGCGTAATCCTTAGCTATTCTGGACGTTTGTGAAGACAAAAAGGAAAGAGGATGGGCTACCGGTTGAGATTCATCTAAGCGATAAAAGAGCCAACACTTCTTTAGAGAAATGTAACCTCCTGGCTGAGCATTTCAAGAGTGTTTTCAACGATTCAACGGCATCGTTAAGCCAAGTTGCTGAAGGGATCAGAGATACTCCCAGTGACGCGTTCAGCTTTGATATTTTCACGGTCACATTAAACCTCGTCGACTCTGCCATCCAGAAGCTGAAATTCTCGAACGCTGTTGGGCCTGACGGCATTCCATCGTCCATACTCAAAAAATGCTCAACAGAGCTTTCCTCTCCACTTGCAAAGCTGTTCAATATTTCGTTACAACAAGGTGTATTTCCCTCTCGTTGAAAATGGATTTTCAAGAAAGGAGACAAACAAAATGTGGAGAGTTACCGAGGAATTACTTCACCTTGTGCCTGCTCGAAAGTATTCGAGATAATCATCAACGACGGTTTATTTGCCAGCTGTAGAAACTACATTTCTCCTGACCAACATGGTTTCCACCCCAAACGTTCGGTCTCAACAAACCTCGCTCCTTTCATTTCCCTATGCCTACGGAATATGGAGGCAGGGGCACAGGTGGACGTCGTATACACGGATCTCAAGGCTGCTTTCGACCGGGTTGATCATGCCATTCTAATTGCCAAACTCGAGAAGCTTGGTGTTTCTCATGGACTCACTCGTTGGTTTGAATCGTATCTTACCAATCGAGAGCTTTGTGTGAAAATCGGGTCTGATCAATCGGAATATTTTTCAAACAACTCAGGCGTTCCTCAGGGCAGCAATTTGGGACCGCTGCTATTCTCCATATTCATTAACGAAATCGGTTTGATACTTCCAACTGGCTGCCGGTCATTCTATGCAGACGATGTCAAGATGTACGTGGTTGTGCGATGATTCACTGACTGCCTGCGGTTGCAAGCTAAAACCTATTGCATTCAATTATACGATCGATTACCAACCTCTGCAGCGTGTGGACAACGTTCGTGATCTAGGAATTACACTTGATTCTGCTTTGACATTTAAGCTACATTACACGGATATCATAGCCAAAGCTAACAGGCAACTCGGATTCATCTTTAAGATCTCTGATGAGTTTCGGGATCCTACCTGCCTGAAAGCTCTATATTGTTCTCTAGTGCGATCGATCTTGGAATTTGGTGTAGTAGTATGGTGTCCGTATGAAACAGTTTGGATAGCGAGGATCGAGTCTGTTCAGAGGAAATTCGTTCGTTACGCTCTTCGCCACCTTCCTTGGTACGATCCTACGAACCTTCCACCCTACGAAGATCGTTGCCAACTACTGGGTATTGAAACTCTTGAACGTAGGCGGAAGATTAACCAGGCAGTTTTTGCAGCAAAAGTGCTGATAAGCGAAATCGACTCTCCCGGGATTTTGGCTGAATTACTAATTACATGATCCAATACGGTTCATGTCTGCCCGTTTCAATGAATTCTATGTTTTTTTCGATTTCAACTGCACAGTGGAAACATTTCGTCAACGGATTCAACGTAGTCTGCTGGATAGGTGACGATACGGTTCGACAAATGCAACTGCTTTCAATCAGCCAATTGTTGCAAGACGGTGAGTAGCTGTCCATTAATGTACATCTGATGAATTTTGCTATCTGTTTCCTTTTTTGTTCCCGATCAACTCTGCGATGACGGCCTCGACTGATCCAAGGATAACTCCATGCCATAGGACGAGGTTATTTTTTATGATGAAGACCATAGTATTATTATTATTATTCGGTGTTTATTTTTATAATAGATGTGTTTTTCTGTCCTTTTTATATTGTTCCTTGTATTTTGAAAACATATGGGGTTTTTACGCCTATTTGCGCAAATATTTGCCAAATAGGCTTTTCCCCATTAATCTTCATTTAGACAACAAATGTCCGATGAAGAGAATAATAAATAAATTTTCATTGATCCATTGACTAGCTGAACAGCTGCGAAAATCTTGTCCACTTCTTAAGAATTTTTAACTGAATAGATATCTCTTCACATCCCACACCAGTGACCGAACCACGGAGTCCAATAGAAGATTTTCGCCTCTATACATACATCGCTCACTTGGTCTTCCAACGATGTTCTGTCGAATCTCACTAATTTTTACTTAAAAGAGCATAATGTTGCCAACAATTCAACCACCAAATTGGTCCCTCAAGGCAATTTATTTCGAAATGATCTCCCAGCAAGCTCTAATCTAGAATAATGTATTTCAAACTGTCATCGTCATAATACTGCTGGTGCTGCTGATGCACATCTACGAATAATAGTGACTAACATATTTTTGCTTTGGTTTGGTTTCCCTTACATAGTCTGTAACTCGTGGTAGGTAGATAGCTAAGTGCACATCTAATTTTTAGAATAAATGGATGGTGCGATATAAACATACAGTCAACGGTTTTTGCGAGCTAAAATCTTTTGTCCAAACTGGTCCTAAGGTTTCACTACCACTTTCGTTTCCTACGATAAAACACACACTAACTGAGATTCTCCGTCCTAACGTTAGGCTTAATAACTCTACTAAAAGTATGACTAGGCATGAGATCACACATCACTTCACCCCTCCTCTCTCCCTTCAGAATCTCACTAGACCGTAATGTTTTTGATCGGTTCCATGGTATTGTACAACTTGGGAAGCTCGGACTCCAGCCGAAGCAGCTGAACAAACGTCTTCAGCTTCATTCCGGACCGTTCACCCGCTTCCGGTTCCGCCTTCACAAAGGTAGAGTAGTACGACACCAGCTCCTGGGAGCCATCGGCATCTAGGTCTGCAATAAGCAGCGAGTTTTCCTGATAGTTCAGATCCGGTTGGCACACGACGTCCGACTTGTCCTTGACGTTTTCGCGGCAGAACTGAATCACGTTCGATTGGCTGGTATTTTCGATTTTGAAATGGGTGGAATTGAATATGATTAGCGTAACGGATTCTTTGAGGTAACGCATTCGCGTTTTATAAGTCCCGGGGCGTAGGGTTTGATTTACACTTCGTCGAACCTTGGAGGACGTCTCGGGACCGTTGTCCTGATCCGGAAGGACCCATGCTTGCTTCTTGACTAGAACATGGGAGAAAATATTCCGTTCCTTGGTAGAACGCTTGTTTCGAGTGCTATGGTTGTCCACTTCGTCCAGGCTCCATTCCCAGAACTTGAGCACAAAACCATAGATTGTAGACCGATTGTCCGTGCCGAAGTTGCTGAATGTCAACCGGACAGGTTGCATTCCGTACAGCTGTCTCTTGGAAGCGTTCCAAAGAACCGTCCCGGTGGATTCTACTGTCAGCAGAACTGAAGTGGTACAATTTTCCGGACATTTTCCTCGGTTCTCGATTACCAACTGTTTACCTCCGACCGCGGTAATTGTTCTCTGCTTTTCAGTGTTCTTTCGTTGACCGAAGAACTTGTGCTGCTGAAGGTCGACCTTCTTTGTGATCTTCCTCATATCCAATGCCTTGTGTTTGATCAGTTTGTACAATTCTGCCAGAGGCTTGGATCTTTGCTGCTCCGACTTCTCCTTGACGCAGTTGAACATGACATTGTACTCCGGGTCGATCATCAGTTTGTGGACATAGATGCACTCCTTCACAATATGGGAATCGCCAATAAGCTCACCCATCCTTCCGGATATCATCACAAATTTGTTATGCTTCGATTCCCCATAGCTCGTGATGAAAAACAGATCCTTCACACCGTCTCCATCTACATCCGGTATAACCAATGGGAAATCCAGCAAATCATTTTGCTTCAGAATACTCTTCCGATCGTAGATCGGTGTATGCCAGATCCATTCTCCAGATAAAGGATTGATGCACTCAAGCTGGCCGTACTCATCCATCACCAGGCAATCCGGCGATCCATTCAAATCCGCATCGATCAGCGTACAATCGATACTCTTCGGTTCGTTCGCCATCTGATCGTACCAAGCCACCTTTCCGGTACTCCCAATCAACGATATTATTCCATTCCTCCTCCTATAGGAATCCTCAAACTCCGGAAACAGCTTATCTCCGCGGTACATAAAAATCAAATTCTTACTCTTACCATGAACTCCTTCCACCACGTTGATAACTCCCTTCAGCTCGATCTTCTCGTAGTTCCGGATCCAATTTTGCGTCTTAATCCGTTCCGCTCGCGCCGGACAGGCAAACTCATCCGAGCACGGAATCACCCACAGAAACACCACCAACGATAGGAAGCAAACGGCCAACGATGCCACAAAGCAGCACTTCCGCGGGAATGACATCTTCCTCTTGGAAATCCCTCCAGCCTCGTGCAGAATCGCTACATTATCCGGATGAAACACTCCACTTGCATCCTCGACATCGCTCGGACTGGCCAACCCATTATACAAGCTGTTACAAACTGCGGTTCCATTGTCTTCTCCGAAACCATAGTTCCGGTTGTTTCCTTGCATTTTCGCTTTACCCGGTGGTCCTCCGGTACCATTCATTGCAATCGCCGTGGTCGTCGTCGTCGACACTCTGCTCTTCCCAAATCTTCCTCCGTTCTGATGATGGTGCACCGCGGCCACTCGATGCTGGTGCTGGGTCTGATGATGCCGTTGCAGCAAATCTTCCTCGCTCTCGGAATCGGTTATCGTCGTTTGCGGAAGGGGGGTGTAGATTCCACCGGACGAATCACTATTAGGCATAATACGCTGCTAAAACGCAAAAAAAAATAAGGTCAACCTAACAAATCGATAAACATGGAAAAATGCATGCAGGCAATGCAGGCAACGATGAAGAACCACAAACCTGTCACACTGGTTTTTTGCATTTGAAAGAGTTTATTCGAATCACTAAAGATGGGATCGGTGAATCCGACTTATTTCCGATTTATTGATTTGGGTTTCGTGTAATTACATTTTCAATTGATAAATTAAATTATTACGATTAAATTTTCACGAGACTTCCTATAACAACATCACTAACATCGCTTGCGCAAAACGTAAAAAATTTAGTTGTCAAAACAGGACTGAAAAGAAAAATAAACAGAGAATCTACTTTATCGACTTCAAACGTAAACATTTATACAACATGGCACTCAGGGTGGTGCGATGATGAAGAAGAGCATTGCAGCTGCGCCATCTATGGTTCAAAATTGTACCGCTTTTAACATTCATATAAAACATAATAAAACATTCGGGGACGGGAGCTAAGCTCAAATGTGACATCACATTTAGCTTACTTTACGAAAAATTGGATTTCTTTAACCAAAATCAGGGAAAACTTAAAAGTATCGCAGTTGGTAGTACCAACAACCCTAATAAAAATGTTATGGTTAATTTTCTTAACGACGTGTTCGGGGTACCATCCAAACCATTTGTGGAAAAGTTCAATCATTAAGGTTATCGTTCGTTTATGGTCATTTTTTATTAGGGAATCAATACGAAACTAACGATTTTAAATTGGCTCACCACTTGACTAGCCTATTGGTCCAAGCAAACGATTAACGTACCCTATTCTAGTCGAAATTCTAGTACTACGCAATGTTTGTTTTGATTCGCTATGAAAGTTTGACAGATAAAATGAGGGGTTATTGGTTTTCCCTATGTTTCGAGGGGTGAATCGATTAGCTTGGGACCGAAGATAGTACCAGAGCTGAGCTAAAAAGTTGAGCACGTTTCTTCAGAACCTACTAGTCTTAGAGTTACCTCTATGGTTTTAGTAAGCATAGTAGTTTTGACAGAATGGTATAATGTTTATATTTAAAGTCAATTATACTGAAATCATGGTGAATTAAGCGTAGTTATACCGAAAATAAGTGTTTTCTGCAAAATAGTATTTCTAACTATGGTCTTTGTTTCAGTGTAGTCTTAGAGTTACCTCTATGGTAGTACCAACAATCAATACGAAACTAACGATTTCAAATTGGCTCACTACTTGACTAGCCTATTGGTCCCAAGCAAATCGACTAACGTACCCCATTCTAGTATAAATTCCAGTACTACACACTGTTTGTTTTGAGTCGCTATGAAAGTTTGACGGATAAAATGAGGGGTTAGTGAATTTTCCTATGTTTCGAGGGGTGAATCGATTAGCTTGGGACCGAAGATAGTACCAGAGCTGAGCCAAAAAGTTAAGCTCGTTTCTTCGGGACCTTCTGGTCTTAGAGTTACCTCTATGGTAGTACCAACAATCAATACGAAACTAACGATTTTAAATTGGCTCACCACTTTAGTAGCCTATTGGTCCCAAGCAAACGATTAACGTACCCTATTCTAGTTGAAATTCTATTACTACACTATGTTTGTTTTGATTCGCTATGAAAGTTTGACAGATAACATCAGGGGTGTGTGGATTCATGCAGAACATGCAGGGGTGAGTGAAATAGCTTGGGACTGCTTGGGACCGTTGTTCTGGTACTGAGTGAGCCAAAAATAATAATGATTTTCTTCGGGACCCAGTGGTTTTTTACCTCCTGCGGTGTGGACGGATTTGTATGAATGCAAAATACTTGCGACTGTGATGCTATAAATAAGTTTGACAGCTCTTAACTGGGTGGCCAGCAATCGTTTATGTTTGCTGAATTTCTCAGTAAAAAATATCGTTTGCTGTTTTTCAATAAAGCTTTTGATTGCTTCAGTAAAGCATTGTTTACTGATATTTAAAACTTAAATTTGGTGTGTACTCAACAGATAGCGGCAATGTTTTACAGTGAGAAAAATTCAATGTGTTATGTCTGTTTGTCTGTGCTATATTTATGATTCAGGAACATTTTAAGCCAGCACAGAAAAAAAAGTTGTTGACTATTACATCCAAACAGCTACACAGAGGTCATTCCGCTGGCGGTGTAATATTACATTGTAACGATTATGTGAAAAAAATTACATCCACAGACAAACAGACATAACACTCGCAAGTTGTTCATCGAACAAGCATTTAACGGTCAATTTAAAAGTATCGTAGTTGGTAGTACCGCCACCTGTGGCGCGCATATTCAGTTACCTTGCATTTGACGTTTATACACTACTGCCGTCTGTTCAGCGTACTACCCACCACAGTGTACTCAACAGATGGCGGTAATGTTTTAGCGACGATGTTTTACAGTGGGAAATATTCAATGTGTTATGTCTGTTTGTCTGTGTTACATCCATTGATTTAATATAGAGATTGCTGACGTTTGTCGTACCGTAGTGTGCGTCACGTATACGTATACGCAAAATGTTTTCATCGGGAAAAAAAACTTCATAGCGGAAAATTTTCCCGATGAAAACAAATCACTTACACAATCATACTTTAGCAATCTCTATTGTATCTGCCTCGGTGTGGTTGACAGAGGCATCGACGAAGATCCGCCGCTGGACACCGTAGATGACATCAACCAGGCATTGGAAGGACTTTCAACAGGTCATATCCGTGGCTGACGAGGCATGTGTTCGACAAGTTTCTGTGAGGGGTAAGTTTGTTGCTATTGATTCCCACACCCAATTACTGATTCGGTTGGGAAATGATGACGATCGGCTTTTAATCACCCTTCAGGAGAAAGCAAATGCGATCGGCGGGCATGTAGCTTCATCGCATTTGCTTGGCTCGAATATCCAAAATCCGCTCGAAGATCAGGTTACGCTATGCGTTCAAAACCTAGATGCCTCCTCTTGTGTCATGCCTCCGGCGGATAAGATTACAGTTCAACAGATTTGCTCATCGCTGAAATATACCAAGAACATGAAGGCTCCCGGGTTTGACGGCATATTCAACTTAACAAGACTCATCATGAAAGTGCAGTCTCTTTTGGCCGCTATCTTCAACAGATGCTTGGAGCTGCACTACTTTCCAAGCATCTGGAAGGTAGCAAAAATCATACCAATCCGCAAGCCCGGTAAAGATCCAACATTGCCCTCAAGCTAGAGACCGATCAGCCTTCTTTCAGCGCTTAGCAAATTGTTCGAGATACTCATTCTAAATCGTTTGCTCAAGTTTGTCGAGCAAAACAACATTCTTCTTCCGGAACAGTTCGGGTTCAGGAAGGGGCACTCCACCAATCACCAGGTAGTACGGGTGATGAATAACATCCGAAGTAACAAAGTTGTATCCAAGTCCACAGCCATGGCTTTGCTAGACGTTGAAAAAGCGTTTGACAATGACGGACTTGTGAACAAACTTTGTAACTTCAACTTTCCATTACATCTGGTTAAAATCACCCGTAACTACCTCCAGCAAAGGGCGTGTTAGGTATCGTTGAATGGTTATCTTTCAGATACGTTTTACATCCCAGCAGGTGTTCCGCAAGGAAGTTTGTTGGGACCTTTGCTTTACAGCATCTATATTTCCGACATTCCTCCCCTTGGAGACGGTTGGGTGTTTTTCCTGTTCGCAGATGATACCGCACTAGCAGTCAAAGGAAAGATGCCTCGCGAAATGACAAACAAACTTCAACGAACGTCTTTGCGATTATGCAAACACCTGCAAATCAATGCCTCCAAAGCTCAAGCAACCATGTTCCTCCACAGGCAATCACCCAAACTAAAACCGGCTCCCTCTTGTACTGTAATCATGGACGGCACAAGGGTTGAGTGGTCCGCCGAAGTAGCCTATCTCGGGATGTTGTTTGACGCAAAGCTACTATTTTGCTCGCATGTAGAGAAAACCGTAGTCAAGTGTTCTGCCTTAGTTAGGTGTCTGTATCCGCTGATTTGTCGCAGATCCCGCCTCTCAAGGGTGAACAAACTGGTAGTCTACAAACAAATTATAGCACCTGCGATCCTCTACGCAGCTCAGATGTGAGAATCCACCAAAAGGCGAACGCTTCAAAACTAGATTTAAAAATTGATGACATGAAGGCTAGGCTTGTGCAGAAATGCAACATATCAGAACATGCTTTGATAAGCAATTTGTATATATGTAGTAGGTTAGGTGTATGTATATAGTAGTTGTAGGTTAGTTGTAGTTGTATGTAGTAGTTATAAGCAGTCTTCTTTTTCAAATGCTCGGAATTTTGAGATTTTTTTTTTCAACTACTGTTTCGGACCACAGACAAACAGATATAACTCATTGAATATTTTTCACTGCAAAACATTGTCGCTAAAACACTACCGCCATCTGATCGGTACCCTGTGATGGACAATAAGATGGCGGTATTGAGTAAACGTCAAACGCAAGATAATTGACTATGTGCGCCACAGGTGGAGAAACTGCCAACTAAGACCAAATCAAATTTACCGTTAAATGCGAAATCGATGAACAACATGCGAGAGTTATGTTTGTTTGTCTGTGGTCGATCTTTTGCCCCATCAGAATAGAGACCGACGTAAATTAAACGAAAGAAGTACATATATGAAGAAGATAAAAAAGCAAAAATTCCAAAAATAAAAACAACTGTCAAAAAAACATTCGTGAATTAAAGTTAGAAGGAAAAGTTTATTTCAATGAGTTAAAATCTTACGATAACATCACGAAAATCTTCCTAATGGATCAATATGAAAGTGCCTTACGATCTAGTTAATCTCACAAGTAGAGAAAACCAAATAATGACAAAAAGTCGAACTCTATTCGACGCTGAAATTGTGATTGATTTTCTTTAAGAATAGTTTGTCCTAATTATAGAGGAGACGATGGATTGTGTTACAATCTGAGAGCTAAAATTCCGGAACGATCCCATCACTTCTTCAGTTCCATGTGGATATGCTTTGCCATCCGCGCCACCAATTCCGACAGCCTCGATTCCCTGCTCTTGCCGATTCCCATAATGTCATCGTGACAGGGTGATTCCTCCAGATCGTACTCCGGCACACAGAGATTCGTAATCAAACTGAACGCGAAGCAGGTCATCCCGCAGTGGACGGCCGTGGTGACTTCATGCACCGTCGACATCCCCACGGCATCCACGCCCCAGATTCGTAGCATTTTCAGCTCAGCAACGGTTTCAAAGTTTGGTCCGCCAAGGCAGATGTACACGCCCTCGTGCAGATCTTTCTCGATGCCAATGTCTTTACCGATTTCCTTTGCCTTCTTGAGCAGTTTCCAGTCGTACGCGTTCACCATGTTCGGGAAGCGCGGTCCAAAGCGGGAGTCGTTGGCACCTTGGAGCGGGTTGTTGCCTGCGAAACCCATGATGTTGATGTGATCCTTCATCAGCATGATGTCACCGACTTTGTACTGCGGATGAAGACCTCCGGCAGCGTTAGTTGCGATCAGGTGACTACAGCCGACTAGTTTCATCACTCGAACCGGCATGGAGCACTGTAAGTTGATAGAAGATCAAGAATTTGAGTAATCAAGCAGTTTATAGGACATTCAGCGGACTCACCTTGGCCAGCGGATATCCTTCGTAGTAGTGGAACCGCCCCTGCATGCACATCACCGGAACGCCCTTCAGGTAGCCAAAGATCAGTCGACCGACGTGGCCGTCCACAGTCGAGACCGGGAAGTGTGGAATCGTTTGGTAATCCATGTAGTCTACATCCGTGAGCTGATCGGCCAGCGATCCAAGGCCAGTGCCTAAAATGATGCCAATCTTTGGTCGAAGCTGCGTTCGCGATAGCAGATTATTGGCGATTTCCTGCAGTATGTCGTAGGTGTACCTGGGAAGGCAAAATTGAAAAAGAAAAATGGAAATTTGTCAGTGATATAATTGCCAGCGTATACATATACTTAATTCGAGATCAGCAGCACACGTGAGAGGAATGCGGCTGTTTGAATCTCAATCACGTTCGTTAGAATGTTTTATCAGGTACACTACCACTACCGACGACCGAGTCACGCTCAACGAATTTGCGCTATGTGCCTTGGTCTGGGCATGGACGTGAATGGAATTAGTAATGCAGCGTATCGCCGGTAGCTTCGTAGTTGAATTGGTGGGCGGCGGACGACTTAATTAGCTGTAAGTGATAGGAGCCGATTCAAATGCTATTCATTTATTCCTGTATATAGATTTGAAGAGCTATTCTACTATAGAATCTCAAGATCAGTGGGACAGCAAAGACCATTCTAGCTGAAAAGTGAAATCTATCTTGGAACCTCTTCGAACAAAGCCGATGTTGAAAAGTGAGCTTTGTGTCGTTTTCCACATTTGGCAACATTTCTCAATGGAAGTTTTTACGATAGCAACACAAAAACTTTCCTTGTGTTCCTTGTGCAATGTAAATGCATTTCTAGATAAACATTTTAAAAGGTCCTATCTGCATTGATCGAATCTAACTCAGCTGCAAAACCTTTCCCTGTTGTTTTTGACGCGAGGTAAAAACCTCCTTTGTGGTTTGTGCTACAAATAGTGTGTGGTACAAATAGTGTGAAATCTGTTTGCATAACAGTGGTTATCACAAGAGAAAGTCGATGAAGAGAATCGATCAAAGCAGATAGAACCATTTGAAATGTTCATCGAGAATTTCATTAATACAGCCTTAAGCTGTATTTAAGGTGATACTCTAATAGCGAATTCGTTTATTATTCAGTTCCAACCTGGATCGGGTATCAAGATTGGGTCTGCTTGTTTTCTAGCAAACGTCAGTTTGATCGTTTGTTTTTAAAACCTGGCACGGGTCGAGGTTCGCACTGACAAAAAGTTCGGGTTCGCACGGGTTGGAACTGGTTCCAACCCCGATAATAAACGAATTCGCTATAAGAAAACCTTAGCGTGAAACTTCAAAGGCACAAATGTCAGCTTCCACAAAACATACACATTTGAAATCGCTACTCTCTGTTTGTAGTTGCACAGCAAACAAGGAGTAGCAATTTCAAATTTGTATGTTTTGTGGAAGCTGACATTTGTTCCTTTAAAGTTTCACGCTAAGGCTTCCTTAGAGTATTACCTTAAATGTTATACTATATGAGGAAACCTTTACTCAACCTCTATACAAGCAAATCTGGCGAACTTGATCAGCTACTTATGGTTGTTGTTACGATTGGGACAAGCTCTTATTGCATATCTATTTACGCTTCTATACAGCTTTTATCCTGCTGTTTAATTATGTGTGAACTTGAAAGGCGTTTACTCAACCTTTACCCGATTATCCAATTATCACTACACAGTTTTCTCTAAATATTGTTAAATATTGTTTACGCTTTTTTTTTTGAGGAATTTATCAAGTTTATTTTACTGCGAATCAAATTATTCTAAATTAGTTATAAGCACACCACCAAATTATTTACACTGTACCGGAACCTGGTATCGACCTCGAGACGATCGCATTGGCGAACCTTCATACTACATACCGACTTCGCTACGCCAACACTTTGAACTGACGTAAACAAATTTACATGCTCTTCTACAACAAGATCGCTGAGTAGAGGCTTTTTAATAGTGCATATGAATCAATTTTCTCGACTAGTTAATTCAGCTTTGTAAAGAAGCAGAGTAAATGCTGTAAGACTCCCACACTTCTAAAAATAAACCTAGTAGACAGTGAAATAGCTTCCAAAGTAGCACTAACACAGTTTATTAGTTCAGTACAGGTTGTTTAGTTGTTGAAAAAGCACTTTCGATGTTTATGTTATTCAACAAGAGTGGTTGGTTGAGTAGAAGCCATCAAATAAGTAATATATTCGCATTATTAGCTTTGTCCTGCAGCTACAAGTAGAAAGTTGATTAATATTTGCATAGAAGTGACATTTGCGTTTATTGGCTTCTGTTATTCAGTGTAACTGACAAATTGCATAATAGTTGTGAAACAGTTGAGTAAACGCTCCGCTGAACTATTTTGCTAGCTTCTGCTTGTAGCTGTATTTGCAGATTGTTATAATCTGATTCACAGCATAACGCTGGAAAAGATGGCTGAAAATGTTAGTTGGGTAGTGCGGCAGTCCACAGCATTTCGAGCCTTCCGGGAATCGAGCGGATCACCGGTCGAGATAACTGACTCACATGGAAGTTTGCGGTGCAACATATTTGGAACTGGAGGACCTGTGGAGCGCTAAGCGATCTAAGAAGAAGAGGAGACAATAGAGGGACTTTTATGAACCAATTTTCTGTCGGGCGAACGTATAGAAACGCGAGATTTTTTACAACAGGGAACCTATTTTCTTGAATTTTGACAGTCGACTGCGTTGCCCACAATGAAATAGTTTTTGCACGGTCGTTTCCGCGAGAGAAGAAGAACACGTCACAGAAAAAAGTAGCGAGTAGTCTCCTGCTTGTTCCTCGATTGTCTCTACCGCACATCAGCTGAATGGAATAAATTTCCCAATCTCTGACGAATGGGTAGGAACGTTGCTACTGGCCGGTCTTCCCGAAGAATATGGTCCAATGATAATGGCTCTAGAAAACTCGGGGACGCTAGAAAAAACCAAGTTGCTACAGGAGGTGAAATTTTCGGCAGAGGACGCGGCACTGGCTGCCAGTCGAAGGACGGAAGCAGCAGGACGCAGTGGGAAATTCAAACAGAAAAACGAACCGAAGAGCTTTCCCGAAAGGACCAAATCTAATCTAATCTAATACAAACGCAGCCAGTACGAGAAAGTATCCTGGAAAATGATTAAGCTAGATGAGGTCTAATCATTTTTCTTGTCTAATTGATGTTTACAGCATATCTGAGATATGATATAAACATCAATACGGCCAGGGCTACTGCGTTGTATTTGCCGCAAAGATGATTCTTGGAAATGAATGGGAACATTTCTTGAATCTACAGGGGAAGGATGCATGGACATACCGTACCAAACGCTCCGAGTTACTATGTGTAGTTGTGTGTAATGTGTAAATATTTGTACAATATTGAAGAATCATAAAATAATGCAATGGAAGGATCTTACCGAATTTTCTCCTTTGTTGGTAATGATTCTTTTGCGCTTAAAAGTTTCGTTGGATGCATCCGCTCCTCCGATCGGGAGGTTGCAAAAAAAAATCCAAACAGCCGGTTTGCCATCGGCCTTGCATGTCCAAAAGCGAGCTCTAGCGAATGATTAATCACCCCTCCAAAGAAATATGTCACCAGGAAAATCATCTTCCACGATTGGTCCTTCATTATGAACAACATCGCAAACTGCATTAGCACCATGGCCCAGCCACAAACTTGAACTGGCGTGCGGTTCCTCGGTGTAATACCACTCGAAATCCGTCCTGGACACGTGCTGGCCCATTGCGGTCACTTCTTGATTGCTTGGGAAATACTCCCAAAATGAAAAAAAAAAAAACCGAATTTCACAACACTGGTTCACGTAGAATAGTTAAGACGCTCAAAAGTAAAAGTACACCGAGTATCGATGATACCGACGTGGAATTATCCTTAAGGCCCAAGCGCAATGACAGCGGAAGCGAAACGGCAACGGCAGCGGAAAAGCCCGATCTGAGTAAGCCAACTTGTCGGATTGAAAACTTGTTGAAACCAAATCGATTTCGGTTAGGCATCTTGATGTCATTTGTGACAACTGTCAAACTTTCCGTTTCCGTTCCGCTTCCGTCCACATTGCGTTTGGGCCTTTAGGTCGGCCATAAAAGTCTGCAGTCGTGAACTTCTCTAGAAAAAACGCGATGAAAAAACATAGACGAACAATTTGACAACCGGAAAATTTTCACGTCCGTGTAGTTTGGACACTCGTGACTGCTAAAGTGTGGAAAAGGAGGATGCTTTCTGTACGGTGTTGTCAATTTGTTCGTCTGGTTCATCGATTCTGGTGCAAGTGTGCACATGACCAACGATTCGAAATTTCTGGAGAATTTGAAGCCGGCGACAGGATCCGTCGTTGCTGCTAATGGAAACGGGATGAAGGTAACGGCAACTGGCACGGCCACCTTGAAGCCGGCATGTCAGGAGAATAGAATTCCGGTTCATGATGTGCAACTGATCCCGGATCTTTCGGTAAATCTACTCTGCGTGAACCAGATCGTCAAGAAGTGATATACGGTCGTTTTTTTTTTCCAACGCTGGATGTGAAGTCTTGAATAGCGACGGTAAAACACAGAGGTAAGCACGAAAACGAGTTGTTTCTCCTCGAGCAGCGGCAGCAGGATACGAAGAATGCTTTGGCTTGCTCGCTTGCAACAAGCGTGAAGGTTTGGCACCAACGACTGGGACATTTGAACCTCAAGAGTGTTCGGAAACTGACTAACGGATTGGTAGAAAACGGGAAACATTGTCGGCATCCCTTTAGCAAGGAAGGTTCACGTGCAGCGGGTGGGTGGTGCACACCGAGACTTGTGGGGCCATGGAGCAGATACTACATCGTCTTCGTGGATGAAAATCACGGAAGATGTGGACTTACTTCCTCAAAACGAAATCGGAAGTTGAAGTTTTGAGAACTTTCAAAGAATTCCATGTAATGGTTGAGCGACAATCGGAGCGGAAGATTAAGGTACTTCGCATCGATAATGGGAAGCAGAACGTGAATAAGGACTTCAAGAGCTACCTATAGCAACACGGCATTCAACACCAGAAAGCTACTGCATACACTCCGGAACAGAACGGTATGGCGGAGCGCGCAAACCGTTCAATAGTTGAACGCGCCCGATGCTTACTGTTCGAAGCAGGACTAGCGAAAACATTCTGGGCTGGAGCCGTACACACATCCATCTATCTGCTTAACCGGTCCCCTACGCAAGGTCACGATTTTACTCCTGAACAAGTTTGGTCCGGAAAGAAACTCAATT